AAGAATTTTATTCGCATTTTTCGGCTGTCCGGATAAACCGAATGTTACATATCCGCTAATCTAAATGAAAAATTCCCGGCTTTTAGTTGTTCGGATAATAGTTTTACATACGGATAACAGCAAAAATGCGACATAGAATCGGAAAAACTGAAAATTGCATTATCCGCTAACCTAAACGGAAAATTAGTTATTGGGATAATATATTGATACCAGGATATCAGGAAAAATGCGACTCAGAGTCAATAAAGAAATAGGAAACGGTGATAATTTACTGAAACTAACCGGATAAACCGAAATGTACATTATCCGCTAATGAAATAAAATGAAAAATTCTCGAATTACAGTTATTCGTATAATAATTAGGTATATGGATATTAGCAAAAATGCGACACAGAGTAAAAATATAAATAAAATACGCTAATAATTTTGTTAAACTAAAAATTCTCGAATTTCAGTTATTCGGATAATAATTGGATATGAGGATATCAACAAAAATGCGACACAGAGTCAATATATAAATAGAAAACGGTGATAATTTAGTAAAATTATCTTGATTATCTAGATAAACCGAAATTTACATTACACGCTAACATAAACGAAACATTCTCGATTTCTCGACTTTCAGTCGAGTATTCGGATAATAATATACGGATATCGGCAAAAATGCGGGATAGAGTAAAAATATAAATAAAACGCGCTGATAATTTTGTCAAACTAATCGGATAAACCAAAATTTACATTATCCGCTGTCATAACCAAAAATTCTAGACTTTCAGTTATTCGGATAATAATTGAATATACGGATATCGGCAAAAATGTGACACAGGTCCAATATATAAATAGGAAATCGTGATAATTTAACAAAACTATCCGAATAAACCGAAATTTACATTATCCGCTAACATAAACGAAAATTTCTGGAATTTCAGTTATTCGGATAATAGTTGAATGCCCGATACAATATTCATTATATGTTAAAATCCAAAAAAATTAAAACGTAATACCAAAAGGCTCTATACTATTAGGTTTTTATCCGTGACAACGGAAAACGAGAATTAATCCAATTCGTTAAACCGGATATCCGCATAATTGCACAAATTAATTATAATGGAGTATTAGCAAGATTTATACTATCCGTGTTTTATCCGTGTCAACGGATAAGAAGTTTGTATATTTGGACGTACGAATGTATCCAGTTTTAATGAAATTTTAGATTTTTAAATAGTTTTTTTCTCTATAAATTATTCTAATATATTTAAAACTAACTAAATTAACGGTAATAAGCCTCCTAGTTCTTTCTGAAGCAGACTGAAATCTGAGAGAACCCTCTAAACACTTTTTTGGAAAAGAAATACAAAATTGCGTCAAGCAAACTTAAAAATTCACAAGTATAAGGGTCTCAAACCGCTATGTTATTTGTTATATATAAGTATATATAAAAAGATCAGGATAATGTCCTGGATAAAGAATTGAAGTACGCAATACCTAAGAAAACAAACAATCAAGAAAAACAATCGTCGCCTCTGATTTTTGTGAGTGAGTTGTGTGAAGAAACCGGGGTGCCTTTATAACGAAAAAAAGGTTATATCATTCAAGTAGGGAAAGTATGGAGTACCGTAGTTCAAACTTAAACTGTCAAGCAAACATTGATAGGGCGAAGCTATAATTTATGTTTGGTACTTCCGAACAGTTCGAGAGTTTTAAAAGCAAGACTTTCGATATACCGAAGCAATACATATACATATAATATGTAGACTACCTTAAAGAGTCAGCACTTTAAAACTTGTTGCATACACGAATGATTAGAAATCAGACCTCTAGCTTTAACTGGATTCAGAGCAAATATAAACAACTATTGTGTGATGCCAAAACCACTTAGTTATTAATCAAGAGATTCCCAAATATTGAACACGTAATTCCCACATGTATAATCGAAATATCGGTGCTTTGTGATGCAAAAACCACTTATGTAGTTATGGAACAAGAGATCGTCAAATATCGATAAAGCGCTGTCAGACACACAAATTAGTGCCGTTTCACATTGGGACGCAAAAGAGTCTCATACCAGTTTATTGTTGGTGAGGGGACGACGAGGAAAGACGAAGGGACCGTGCAACTCGTGTTCGGGTGGCACGCTTTGTGTTCTTGTTCGTAACAGCTCGCTGCTACCCTTTTCAGCATTCCTTTTCACTTTCAAATCCTTTGAATGGTTGCAAGAGCGCTCGGTTTCAAATGAATTCGATCGCAAATTTGAGTTCTGTTGTCTATTTTTGTATGTAATATGCAAATACGTATGCATAGAATAATAGAAATATTATGACAAATTGTAAATAAGGAGAAAATTAAGATATAGATTATGGAGTAAAGAAATTATGAATTTTTAATACGGAGTAAAGAAATTATGAGTTTTTAATACTTAAAGATTAGGAATTCCTATTATAAATTTGGCCTTGAAAATATTAGTAGCGGATATTCAATACATTCTTGTGGATTAGGGAATTCCCGTCTTTAGTATTTTTTTGAAACTATTTAGCGGGTAGGTACTTGTATTATGCATATTGTTCTACCATATTCATGGTAATTCATTGCAAGCAAAGTGTTGCGCGGTGTTGCGCAGTCGAACCGCACAAATATTTACGAAAATTTTGTGAAAAGGAATGCAGAAAAACTAGACTCGAGTTGCTGGACTCTTTTTGACCGTGTGAATGCCCAGAGCGACACCAAAAGAAATTTTGAAAAACATCAGACTCTTTTGCATCCCAATGTGAAACGGCACTTAAACGTTGTACGTTCGATAACATGAACTCACGTTAAACTTGCAACATTGTTATAATTATAACTATATTTTTTTTTGGTTGTATGACTAGTCTTCAAGAATATTTTTCAACTTAAAAGCTGGTTTATTTACACACAACTTTTTTCATTTTTTTTTTGTTTTTGTTTAGAAACATTCAACAAAACCGCAACGGCTCGCATAGTGTGAAGAATTCTTATTGAATTGAACATTATAAGTTTTGTAAACAGAAATTCTTTACATGTGCTTTGGTTCCCCCTATTGTTCGGCGTTATTGCTGCTGCTCATGTTTATTAAAGTGTTTTTCTGCTATAAAAGAAGAATTCGCCTGTTATAAAAATACTATTTTTGTATCTCATTCAGCACGAAAATTGAACTAAAGTCATTATTCTTTCCTTGGGCCGATGTTTATGTTTATGCGTATACGTATATGTAGATACATAAATAAATATAAGTATATGTACATACATATGTAGACGCTGTTGTTATTACGTTGCGCTTATGTTTACAACGTTCTACGTGTAGAACGCACGCAATCCATACACGTATATTTAGGTATGCATGTACATACATAAATTTGAGTATGCAGCAAGCACTTTTGCGCTCATTCATCTGTCTATATGTATTTTGGTGTGTATTTTTATACTTCCTTTCGGATTGAAGTCATTAAACTCCGCTCTATTAAGAATAGTATATTAGTTTATAGAAGCTTCTGCAGTATATAAATATTATATTATATTATAGAGAGTGAGTCAATTGATGCGAGAGATCTATTTACACGTAGCAAATATACTTATTTTCGTGTCTAAACATTTCTAAGCGACCGTCTTTTGCTATAAAAAGTAAAATTGATGTTACTTTGTGCTAAAATTGTTTTAGCGCTTCACCCTTGAAGCTACTCAACAATTTATAGAAATTTTAGCAGTATATATTATAGAGAAGCAGTTAGTCGCGTCGAAAATATTTAATTTAGCATTTCGAAATAAACTTTTTTTCAAACCTAAAGTATTCGTTTATATTTCCAAAAATGTAAGTGTGCCCAATTTCTTAAAAACTAATATATGGCAGCTCTTTTTATTTTATAAAATAACGGTAAAACGCGAAACAACTAAAATTCTCTCTCTAAAAAGCGAATTATGCTTGAAATACCCTACACGCGTCAAACTACAAATGTACTACATAAAAAAATTAAAAAAAAAAAATATTTAAGTATAAAAGTTGTGCAGCAGCGCTCTTCAAGAAAAACAAATAAAAAATCGAAAATATTTTTTTTGAACAAAAGTAAGTTGCTGTTGTGATTTATCTCAAAGCTTGTGACTACATGTGGCTGGGATTGTGTTTTCGTCAAAATTATGCATTTGACGCACTGTAAATATGCATTGTATGTATGTATGTAGCTAGTAAATTAAATAAATTAAATTAAAAAAAAAAAAATTTCATTTGTTGTATTGTTGTCGTATGAATGTTATATTATTTTTATATCAGAAGCAGTTACCAGCCTGTGTTAATTATTTGTACTATATTTTTTCATATTTAAATTAATATAATTTTTTGCCATTTTTATTAATGTAAATTTTTTAATAAAATTTTTTTAATGATCTAGCTGTTTTAAGTTAAATAATTTTTTTTTTACTTATATAATTTTATTTTTAATTTATATAAATTTGTTTTTTAGCTTACATAATTTTTTTAATTGAACAAAATATTTTTTCAATTTATATACCAACATAATTTTTTTTTAATTATACACTTTATTTTGCTTATATATTATTTTTTTTACAATTGTGATTTTTTTATTTAAATAATTTTTTTATTTAAATAATTTTTTAATTTAGTTTTGTAATTTATATTATATAACTTTTTTATTTAAATATATATATATTTTTTTAGTTTATATAATTTTAACTTTTAAGTTTTATAATTTTTTATAGATTTAATTTTTTTAATTTTTTTAATAAACATCATTTTTTCGCCATACTTTTTAACTAACGCTGCACACAAAGACACGCCGCAATGTCCTGTAGTTCTACTGGGAAATAGAAAATTTAATTTTTTCATTGTTTATGTGTGTCAGCTGGTTAATTGTGTGTGCGCGAAATATGAAAATATTCTAAAAAAAAAAACATTACAAACATATATACATACATAAATAGCAGCAGAAGAAGAACGTCAAGCATTTTTGTCTGATTCGATTCGAATTTTATAGTTTATGTGCCGCCTATGCCACATCCGGTTGTGCCGTTAGGCAATTCGACGTCACCAGCTTTGTCGTCATCACAACAACAACAACATCATCAACAACAACAACAACAACAACAACAACATCCACAACAAATATCACTACAACAACAGCAACAACAACAACAAATACCACCTCAATCTCTAGCACCACACCAGTCAATAGCACCACCACCTCTGCCACAATTACCAACAACCGCCTGTTCAGTCACTCAATTAGCACAAAGTCCGATGGCTAATCTCATGTCTATTACAGAGACATTGCCACCGGGTAGTCCAAGGAATGGACCGAGCCCACCGGGACCGCCGCCGCCGCGCACAGCATCACGCGGCAGCCAACATTCACCGAATAGTTCGGGTGAGTAATGTCCCAGTGCTAAGTGAAATTAAAACACAGTCAAAAAGAAAAAAAAAATAATAATAATAACTATATTTATATATTGGTCTAAGTAGTTTTGTTGTGAAATTGCTAGAATTTGTTTGGCAACCATTTTGGTTTAGGTGAAACAATGAACTCGTACGTACCGTTATGGTGCGGATCGTGGTGTTTCGTATATTCGTACGATCGCTGTTTGTTTTCTTATGTGAGACCTCGGCATATTTTGTGCAGCGTCCATCTCGAAGAACTAACTTCATACCTCACACTACCTGTGCACTCATTTTTACACCTACACACACATTCACTTGCACACACATACGCATTATTACTAACTGTTTGTAACTGTACTCACTTGGAATATTCATTCATGATTGATGAGCGCACTAAAAGTGATTTTTTAATTTTAATTCTTTCATTACAGCCGGCTCATCGTCCGGACGTCGCTCTTCGGGTTCGCGTCATGTCTCGAGCACCACAGTCACCAGCTCAGAGGTGCAGTCGAGTCCAGCGAACACACCACAAGTTGGACCGGGCAGCGGCAACAATGTGGGCGGCGGCAACGCCAACAATAACGGCGCAGTCAACGTGAGTAGCGGCAGTGGCGGTAATGCTGGTGGCAATAATGGACCACTACCGCCGGGCGCAAGTGGCGGCGACGCAAATGTCGGTGGCAACAGCAATGGCGGTGGTCCAGGTGGTAATAATAGCAATGGTCCAGCCAGTGGCGGCATGAATGCAGCAAACGCCGCAGCAACTGGCGGCGCATCCGCGTCAAATGCGGCTGCCGCCGCGCAGAATGCCACACTCAAGTGTACATTGTGTCAGGAGCGGCTAGAGGATACACACTTCGTGCAGTGCCCGTCTGTTAATCATCATAAGTTCTGCTTCCCCTGCAGTCGAGAGAGCATCAAGCGGCAAAATGTGAGTTTTGTGTATAATTTTTAATTAATAAAATATTGAAACTAATATTGTTGAAATTTGTTGCAGGGTCTGGGCAATGAGGTCTACTGCCCCAGCGGCGATCGCTGTCCTTTGGCTAATTCGACGATTCCGTGGGCTTTTATGCAAGGCGAAATCACCACTATACTGGGTGAGGAGGTTAAGGTGAAGAAGGAGCGTGAATCTTAATGTCCATTTTATTGTAAAAAGCTGCGACGGGCTTTGGAGAATTTTTAAACAAAAACACACTTAACTGGGCGGCCGAGCAAAGAAATGTTTTTTTGAGTCAAAACTAATGTATTGAAATTGTATGAGCAGTTAAAAACTCACAAGTTGAATGAATATTGAAACAAAAAGTACAGAAATAAGCATAGAAGTAGAAGTTTAATAGTTGTGCAGCAGTTTTGCGAAATGTTTATAAAATAAATGGCAGTGGAAGATACTTGAAACCAGTTGGGGACAGCGTTAATAATAGTGGTCAGTCAAAAAATAAAAAGCTTTTCAAAAGCCAAACGTTTGTATTTAAAGTTAATAAATGTGCGGCTAATAACCGTTTATGTGTGTGGTAATTTAAAAGAACAACTCGCGTGTATGTGTTTGTGCGCATAACTGTTTCGTGCAGCAAATATGCGCGCATTGGCTTTGAATTGGCAACTTGTAACTGGCTGCTAAGCATTTTGTATACAAACCACATTTGTATAGTGGCGAAAAGTTGTTTGAGAACTGTTTACAACGATAACACACGATGTTATCGATGTTTATACCGCGTACACACAGTTCAGACCACTTTGAGCACCTGGCTTTTGTGCTGGTCCTCCATGCAGGAGTGCAGACTTTGAACTTTCTTGGCAGTTGCTGTGTTTAAAAGCACGCAGCAACATTAACAAATAGATTTACATATATAAAACATATAAAATAACTAAAAAAAAAATTAATTGCATACTTTTGCGTATAGCAAATGCCAGTTTGGAGTACGAGCAATTGGGCAAAACATAAAAGCATATAAGAAAAGAAAGCCTGTTTATTATTTTTGTGGGCCTAAGGAGTGCATTATCAAAAAACAAAAAAAAATTCGAGCAAAACATGCAAAACAGACGATTTAATTAAAGCTTACGCGTTGAGTAGAGTGCAAATTTGTTTTTTAGTAGAACATTATTATTTTTGATTTAAGTGAAAAATATTTTAAGTTCACATGCACACAAAAATCTATTTATTTTCACTTTGCGTAGCGTAAACTGCTCATTTTTTCAATAACAATAATTAAATATAATTATGCGAAAAGTACGTTTTGCCGTTTTCTTTACAATAAAAGCTTTTAAAATCTACGTTAAACAAATATTTAAAAAAATAATCAAAATAAGTTTAACAAAAATTAATTGGTTTAATATTACTTGTACATAATGCCTAATTTGTAAGATATCAAAAATAACTTTTCGTTGAAATTTATATTTGTAGTAACTACAAAAGCGAATGCAATTATGTTTTTGATTTTTTTTATGTGTTTTAGCTGTAAAACTAGTTTATATAACAAAAACATATTAATGGTTTAACTCTTTAAAAGTATAATAATTTAATATTAAATGTAAATTAATGCTAAGTTCAATTATATATTTTAGTTTTAAACTATATAACATTTAATGCTAAACAAAAATATTTCTTTAAGTGTATTTGCGAGCTGTTACGGCGCTTATTTTACGCATTGTTGTATTTATTATTTATAGAGATTTTACGCAGTTTGGCAAAAAAATAATAAAAATTAAAAAAATTATAAAAATTAAAAAAAATAATAAAAATTAAAAAATATGTAAAAATTTACAACAAAAAATTTACCACAAAAAAATATTAATATTTGACGCGCAGAGTAAAAAATATTAGCGTTAATTGTCGTGCGTTCATAACGCCCAAACAGTTTTGTCGTGCATACACGCTATTACATTGCAGTGTATGCGTTAAAATTGTGCAAATTTGTATTGCAACAGTCAGTGATTTCTTTCCGTTTAATTAATTAGTCAAGGGAAAATTAAAATTTGCTGCAAATTAACAGTAAAAAAAAGTTATCACAATTCGTTAGCGATTAACAATTTTAACGCAAATTCCAATTCTAAAATGTAAACGTAAATTAATTTTTAAAACTTGTTTATAACAATAAATAAATAAAATATATATTAATTTGTAAATTTTCAACGCCAACCAAGTTGCGGCATACAACAAATATCGTAGTTTTTAGTGGAGAAAGTAAACAAGCAGTAAATAATTATTTAAATGCAAATTGCAAAACACTAAACAATCCTAACTAATATTATATAATACACATTAGATTTACAATGCGCATTAAAATTAAATACATAAATGTATAACATAAAATCGACAACAACAGTGAAACAATTGCAAACAAACAATTTGTAAACTTACCATGTAAGAATATAAATATTTCAACGTGAATAATAAAATATTGGAAAAACATTTCAAATAATTTAGTGGATATGTGAAAAACGAAATTAGCGAATTTGTACTTATTTAATGAGAGAATCGTTAAACTGGTGTGAATTATATATGGGGCAAGCAGGGACAGTAGCACAATTATTGCATAAGGCACAACTTATGATAGAAGCATGAGTGTATAAAACCGAAAAATTTTGGAAAAACAATTTTAAAAAGAAAAAACGTTAACATCGGTTGCACCAAAGCTATAATACCCTTCATAAATATTAAAGTTGCATACAAGAGCTTGATTTGAATCGTTCAGTTTGTATGCCAGCTACATGCTATAGTCGTCCGTTTTCGACGGTTCCGGTTCTAATGAGCAGTTTCTTGGGAAGAAAGGGGTTGAAAATTGCAGTTTGATATCTCAAAAACTGAGACTAAGTTGCGTATATACAGACAGACAGACGGACAGTTATATTCACTTGTTAACTATACGCACTTGCACATTTGCACGTCATCGGCAGTAGTTACTTAATATTGCACTCGTGTTTTCTGTCTGGAAATTTACACAAGTTTTACTGAAATTTGCCGTAGAAAATTTCTTCGAATATTTAAATTCACTTATTTGAGTTTTTAAACGAGCGGAAATTATTGCAATTTCCTTAAATACACTTCATGCTTCCGATGAAAAACGAGCGCCGCGTCTATGAATGACAGGTATAGTGATGCCAGACCTATTTTTATGTACAATTTGATTGCTGATGGTGTGAAAGTACGGAAAAAACTGTTTTTGATTGCGGATGAAATTGAAAAGTAGTTTGATTCGTTTAAATATTTTAAATTTTGTAGAATATCCGTTTCAGCAATAGTGTTGCCACAAGAACTCGAAATCACAGCAGAGAACGTAGATTTATAACAGAGAACGTATTTCATAATATACGTTCTCGGGTAATGATTTGACAACCGCTAATAGGGAATTTGCTTTTCGGGTATGTTCGGAAAGCATACCAATGGAATTTCATTTCTTCATTATTTGGGACGAACAGAGCTACAAAACAGACGAACGAGAATAATGTAGTTTTATAGTGGAAAATGGCGAAAAATTTAAATTTTGGTAAAGAAAACTTAGTAAATTTAGGCAATTAAATAGCGCACAAGTGTTTTGTGTACAAAATAAATACACTTTAAAGAGCTACAACTCGAAAACAAGTGTAGGCACGACGTTTGCGTGGGCGATGCAACTTGTAATAGCTACTGAGAATTTGTTTTCCACTACAACATTTTTAAAAATTGTGCAATCGCATCACAAATATATAAAACAGCTTTAAATTTAGTCACAAATTAATTACATGTAGCAATGCAATTGATTTTCGGTAGCTTTGAATGCCAGTAGGACTTTGGCGTCTGCCGTACATCTCGCACAGTGTTTATTGTTATAGTTGTCAATGGGTTTGTTGAAATTTTGGAGTATGAGTGAATCACCTTTGCTGGGGTAAGAGCGTGTGCTTGGTTATTGCTGTTGCTGTCATGTAGCATTGTTGTAGGAGCAGCAGAAGTTGGCGCAATGACTGGCGCCATTTAACCGCTTGAGGGTCAGGGTCAAAACGTTGAGTGTGTGCAATAAAAATAAATATAAAAATTTGTTCTAGTGCTTATGCACCGAGCGCACCGCATAGTATTATCTATTGTTTGTGTTGTTTTGGCAGGTGTCCCATTACAGCTTTTTAATGCGACTATCATTCATGCAACTTCTTGCTTTGGCCCACTTGCAGATATTGAAAACATTCCTAGGGCAACCGGTTCCCCGCCTACAACATCAAAATCAACCCAGGAGCTGAATGTGCAGCAGCAACAAAAGACGCCAACAACCGGCACACGTATCACCAACTACAGCACATCATGCGCCGGCTGCTTGAATGTATTGAATTTGAGTCGTGAGGAGTTCGTCATTGCGCTGGGTCAAGAGTGGCATAGCGATTGTTTTCGTTGTTCCGTATGTGATACACATTTGCACAATTGGTATTTCGAAAAGGACGGTCTACTCTTCTGCCGGGATGATTATTATCAACGTTTTGGTGAATGCTGTCAACAATGCAGTGCTATAATAACGGGGCCGGTTATGGTAGCTGGCGATCATAAATTTCATCCAGAATGCTTTTGTTGCAGCGCGTGTGCTGTGTTCATTGGTGAGGGTGAAGCGTACGCATTGGTTGAGCGTTCCAAACTCTATTGTGGCAATTGTTATAAACAACAAGAAACACATGCAGTTGCGACGGATGTAGACGCGCTCAGCGCAAGTGTAACCATTGATGGTGGCGGCAGTGGTAACAAAAAACACACTAATGCAATTAGTGGCAGCGCAAAACCTATACATTCCATACGTCTCGTTGAAATACCGAAGGATGCAACACCGGGTCTACGTCTGTCTGTGGATAATGTGAGCGTGCAACGACATTATTTGGATGGCGGTAGTGGTGGTGGCAGCGGCGGTGCATTTCGTGCCACTTCACCAACACATGCTAAGCGTTTAGACGGTCCACTCGAAGTTTGTCCTGCCGTGCGCATATCTGAGTGAGTAACACTGATAATTCCGGTAAATTCGAAAAAAGACTACTAATCCTGCTGCGCTTACTATTTACAGCAACAAATTTTTAACAAAAATGTATCTCATTATTTCGTGTGCGTAGTGTACGTGAGCGACAATCTAGTTTAACAACGCCTGAAATCACCGCATTGCACAAATTACTTTTTGTTTGTGTAAATTGCGAGTAATTGTGTCACTACAGTTCGATTTATCGATTGCAGCTGTTTCATGCGATCACATCATGACGCTGCCATACATTTATACACAAAAGCCATAAACAATGTGTTGGTCAAGCAAATTTTCCTATGGCGCGGACATGGATGCACTCACCTTTTTCACGCTAAAATGACTTGTAGAAATATATATATGTACATATGGCATACATACATATCTACGTATAATATAACATTACTCGCGTTCGTCTGTGTCAACGCTTTATAAAGCAAGTGATAAATGTCTCGGTTATTTATTCACTTATTTACATTGAAAATAATTCGCATACCTGCACGCTTATCAGCCATTTACAGTGCCTTTTCGTCTCTCAGACGCGCCGCTAGTGCTGCCATAACCACAATTCGGTTTACTTTTTACTTGCAGCGCTTTGTTTTATTATTGTACAAGAGCGTTTATTAAAACGACTGTTGTTTATATTTACAAAAACATTTATGTACATACATACATGCATATGTGTGTTGTGTACGTTTGTATTGTCAACTTATCAGCTTACCGCACTTTCGGTAAGGGACGCAAACAAGTAGCTTGCGTTGAATTTTATTTCAATAATCATGTCGCAATTGCAAAAAATAATGTATTAGTCATACACTACAGCGCAACTGTGTGCGTGTGTATTGATAAGTGTCAATGGTTAAGCCTCCCAAACAGGCGTTCGTCCGTTTAACCGGTCCGCGCTCGCCTCAATAGTGATCAGCTGTGCACAAATTATTAGTCGATTTTTCAAGCTAATGTGGGTAGTAAGCGGTTAGTTGTGTAGCAAATAGTAAAACCATAAAGCTACGGAAGCTGTTTGCAAACACAAAAAATATATTTATACAAAACACTGTTGATGATTATAATTTGTGTATAATTTAACAGCAGTAAGCAATTTTGATGGCAATGTGTTATTTTTTTTTTTTTGTAAAGCCATACAAATTGAGTCAACAAAATAAAAACAAACAATGAGAAAATTATTTGAAAGACACATTTTGTGTTGTAAACAAAATATTGTACAACTATGTAAAGGAAAATGCATTTGCTGAATTGTGGAACAATACATAGATGTGCAAAAACATAAACTCACTTGTAAATATTGTTTTGTAATTTTTATAATTTTCTTTTATATAAAAGTACGCTAAAAGCTACTAAAAATGATAGTAAAAATAAATACAATTCACGTATTTCATGTTCCTAACAAAAAATCGATAATTATATATATATCTGTATTTTTTTTTTTTTTTGTAAAAGAACTATATTGTGGTCTCTCATAATAAAATAATTATATATTTTAGCAAAACGCTAACAGTGCGGTCATTTTAAATATAAATCAAAATAAAAAAGATACATTTCTTTAATAGATGGTATTATTTACATATAAATTTATTACTACCTGCCACTCCTTAAAAACATACTGCTAATAAATGAAAATAAAAATCCACTACTAATACCAACTTTTAACAACATTTAAATAAATTTTTACTAATGCATCACTTTTATATTTTTGTCTCTCCCTCTCTTGAATTCGAATACGCTCGCTACTTCTCGCTGTCGCTTGTTACTACGTGCTTTCTTATGAATTTTTATGAACTTGTAATGGTGTGCGTGATTTTTATTAACGAAAATAATGCCTGCTGCACTCATCATCCCATCACAAATTAACCAACATCCAATAATCAAAAAAAAAAAAAAAAAAACCGATAACAATTATACCCAATAACTGTAAACGTAAACGTCTATTTTTATAACCTACATCAATCTTCATCGCCTAAAGCAGATACATTTGTAGAATATATGGTCGCCTGGGGAAATATGTTTTCTCCTTTATAACATCGGTTATCGATCAGTGTTGTGGTAGCGATTATAGGTAAACTAAAATGCATATTTTCCACTAACTAAAATATTTTTAATTATTATTTTTACTGATTTACTTGTTGGTTGCAAAGCGGTGTGATATTGTTTTCGGTCTGGTTGGAAGAGAGCGTTTGTTTGAAAGATAAAAAATATAAAAAAAATGTAGAAATAGTTTCGGCCAACGTTTATGTAATAAGGGTCCTTAGAATAGAATAGAAAGGAAATGAGGCAACCACCGCGACCTAGGGTCTACTGTGTCCTCCTCTAAGTCACAAAGAATCACTTTGCCCCAGCACATTAATGATAAGAATCCTTGGTCGGACATCAATCCCTGTTTATATAGACTATTTAGACCCGCTTGTCGTAACCACGAGTTTTCGCCTGCGTCAAAACCCTTACAAAATCTCTCATAATTAGTTGGGATACGCTCCCATTTCCCGTAATTTACGAGCTTCACTTATTATTATAACGTTCGACTGACCTTATAAAAATCTGCAATTTGTGCGTCAGCTTTGTTTTCCCCTTGAAGTTGTGGTTTCTTATCTCTTTCAAACGTACTATATATGTTTTAATATGTGATTTTCTTGGCTTTTCAATGTATCGCAAGAATTACACTGCGAAAAAACTAACTTGTAATAAAAATTAAAATTTTGTAGCGATTTCCCTCCATAGAACAATAATTTTAGCGCAAAGTAAGCTATACGAGGTCTTAACTAGTAACACGGAGTTTGAGCCAAATCTAACCTAAAATTTCAATAACACAATGAATTGCTGTTATTTTCACCGAAATTACCCGGCAGCTCAAAGAATATATCTCGCCAAAGCATCAATTGTGATTTTCGACGTAATATCGATGGCACCCGACCACATTTACGATATATATTGAACGCTGGAGACTATGAACTGACACGTGACACCAGTTGCAGGCTGTCAAGTGTCACATTTCAAAAAGTTTGTCTCAAATTTAAGTAATGGAAGTATGATCGCTAGATATTACAGTTAAAGAGCTCGAGCTAACTCTAGAGGGTCGTGTAATACTTCTTTAATTGAAGTCTGGATATTTTTGCAGGTTAAACCCGGACTTATCAAGACTTGACCCCAAAAAACATAACGGATGTCCGAATTTACACCAACACTTTCAAGAAATCTCTTTAACGTTGCTCTTCTAACCCCGCTATTTCTTTCGTTTACATCTTTTAAAATAATTTTTTTTCGGAACTTCTTTCCTTAAGAAGGGGGACTAAGCATTACAACAATGTTGCCTGCAACAATAACAATAATCACACTTGTTTGGCTTGATAATCCTAAGACAAATTCCGTTCCCAACCTCATAGAATTCCTTAATGAGAATAACCATTTTTTTTATTAAGTTTTATGATCCAAAATTATATCATCCAGACCGAAATCAATTTCATAAAAATTTCATCGAAATCAATTCTTCAACTTTTCAAATATCACAAAATCTTTTTTTTTTTTTACAATGTTTCTCCCACCTACTTTAACCCCCCTTCCGCTTTTAGAATCGACGTGAACTTAGCCAATCTGCATATCGGCGATCGCATATTGGAGGTGAACGGCACACCCGTTAACGATACATCCATCGAACACATTGACAAATTGATACGCAGCACTGAGAAAATCCTACAGCTGACCGTCGAGCACGACCCCGTACAGGTGTGTCGCAGCTGTAGTCAAGCGGACATATTGCAACGTCCCACATCGTACAGTGATCTGCCACCGTTGGCAACATCCGCATCGAGCATCGAAGTTTACGGACGTTGCTGCGTCACCGACTCGCTCACCGGCAGCACCAGCACCAGTACGATCGCGCCGCACAGCAACAGCAGCGATTGCGGTAGCGGCGGCAGCTCGCCCACGCGGCTCACCAAACTAGACAAGGAGCGCATATATAAGCGCAAGGATGAGGGTTATATAAGCGGCACGAAGACCCGTCAACTGCGTAAATGCAAGAATCTGAATATGATTGCGAGTGAACAGCCAACGTTGCCACATGCAGGTTCCACACATTCCATAGGAGCCACTATGAGCGGCGCTGCTACTGCGAACGCTAAAGTTGGCGCAACTGCGGCGAATTCCACACAACTGGGCATGCGTTTGCGCGAGAAGGAGCGCTGTTCCAGCATGTCCAAGCTGCTGGATGAACAACATGCGCCGACGGAGCAAATTTACGATTTATCGCGCACGAAATCCTTTCGTGTGGAGCCCAAGCCGCAACGCATTTTTCGTGCCTCCGATCTGGTGTTGGGCGAACTGCTCGGTAAGGGTTTCTTTGGGCAGGTATACAAGGTAACGCATCGTCTGACGAAGGAGGTGATGGTGCTCAAGGAATTGTATCGCGTGGATGAGGAAGCGCAGCGTAATTTCCTCAAAGAGGTTGCAGTGTTGCGTTCGCTGCATCACAAGAATGTGCTGCGCTTCATTGGCGTGCTCTACAAAGACAAAAAGTTGCATTTGGTCACCGAGTATATAGCGGGCGGTTCGTTGAAGGAGCTTATACACGATTCGGGTTTGCCGCTCACATGGCCGCAGCGCGTCTCATTCGCCAAGGATATTGCTTGTGGCATGAGTTATTTGCACCGTATGAACATCATACATCGTGATCTGAATTCGCTAAACTGCCTCGTGCGCGAGGACAAGTCGGTGATTGTGGCGGACTTTGGGTTGGCGCGCATCATTACGGCGCCGTTCTTCAGCGCCGGCAGCAGCAGTGGCGCGGCAGGCGGTGTTGCGCTTGGCAGTAGTAGCAGCAGTGAGCGTTGGTCTGGCGGCGCATGCCTAAGTCCGAATGGCACATTGGGACGCAGCAAGAGTCGACAGCGCAGGCAGCGTTATACGGTGGTGGGTAATCCTTATTGGATGGCGCCGGAAATGATGAAGGGACTGAAATATGATGAGAAAGTGGATGTGTTCTCGTTTGGCATTATGCTGTGTGAGGTGAGTAGACGGCGATGCAAACAATGTATACGAAAAAACATTAAATTTTAAACTTCCAGATCATTGGACGCGTACAAGCCGATCCGGATTTCCTGCCGCGCACCTCCGACTTCGGCTTGAACCAGAAGGTATTCCGCGAGAAGTTTTGCCCACAGTGTCCAGAAGCGTTTTACAAAATTGCCTTTCTTTGCTGTGATCTCAATCCTGATAAAAGGTGTGTGTATATATATTTGTCTTATAAGAAATATTTAAATCTTATTTTTTCTTGCTTGCCAACGCCTTAGACCGTCCTTTGAAATACTCGAAATCTGGTTGGAAAGTCTGATGGCCTCCATTGCCATGAACCAGTCGCTGCCCGCCGATCTGCTGTACGACATAGAAAACTTTAAGGGCATTATAAGCATCAGCAGCACGCCAGACGGCATGCTCACGCCGAAGTCGAATCGCAGCCGCGACGATCTGGACGATTTGGGCGCGCAGCGTAAGTCAACGCCACCGAAGAATGAAAAGCCTGCGGTAGTTGTGACACAGCTTAGTATAAACGCGGAAGGCTTTAAAGACGACAGCGATTTCCACGATGTGACGAAAATGGAAGGCAAAGAGAATGCGGTCATATTGCGTAAAGATATGCCGAAATCGCCGCATTTGGGTAAAGACTTCTCGCCTACTGGCGAGCGTATACGCGATAGCATGCGTGCACGGCGCCGCCAACGACTTATGCAAGCCGCGCAACAACGCGGCGTGACGCCAGAGAATAAGTGCACCGAAAGCGTGTTAGAAGCGGTGAAACAGACGCTGCAGAATGGTGCGCGCGGCGGCACGCCACTGAGCAGCTGCAATGGTGGTGGCGCGAAGAAGAGTCGTCCGTACGGCGAGAAGGGTTTTCTGCTAGACATCAATCGCGATGGCGATTTGCGCTTAAATAATGTAAAAGATTTGAATTATTGCTCAGATTTCGACTCCAGTTGCGACACGAGTCTTAACTATCACGAGGTAAACGCTGTGGATGACATGAAAGCAGCTGAATGTGAAATGCCTGCAGCGCACTTAATAAATCGACCGGCGGTCTTGCAAGAAGAGGATCACACAGAAGATGAAGTACAAAGCGATGAGGCGAAAATGTTGGTGCCTACGCAGACAACGTTAGACGCTGAAATGCAGCTGAGCGCCACAGCGTGTACGAGCGCGCAATCGCCGACAGTCAGTGCGGCCACTGAAGAGGTTGACGCAGCGACGCTTAGTACCATGCAACAGATACAGAAAAAGATTTCCGCAAAATCGTACAAAAATGCGCTCGATGACATACGGACGAAGTTGAATTTGTGTCGCAACAAATTCGAAACAATCGACGCAGCGAATCGACGCAATTTCAGCAATTCACAAAATTCAATGAAAACCTTCTTCCGCTCGCGCAACTCGCGCTCCATTGCTACCAGCCCCACAGAGCCCGCGAACGCCAGTGAAAGTGTGTACAAAACGCCACCCGAAGCATTAAAAATGTTCCAGCGTCTTGAAGCGGCCAGCGCAGCCGCATTACCGGCCGGTACGCCGTCCAGCGAGCTTGCGCGCTTGCCTGGACAAAGTGTCGCCTCAAGCAGCAGCAGCAACAGCAGCACCTACCGCATCAATCAAACGCCGATATTTGGGCGCAAGCAGCTACCAAAACAGGTCGAGCTGTATACCGCACACTCTGAGTCATTGGAGAATCTACACACGGGTTTGCCGTGCATGCCGCCGTTAACCCCGGTAGCAGCACGTAAAAATAAAAACAGTCCGGGTGGCAGCGGCAAGCGCGCGAAATCGCCTAAACGTCCTGTGAGCACATTCCGTAGCTACCTTAATGAGGTGGCAGCGGAGGAGATTGAAGAAAGCACACCCGCGCGATTGACTGCGTCAGCGACAACCACGACGACTGCAGGAACTACGGTGGAGACGACGCCGAAAAAGAATCGTCGCCTCAATAGTGGTAAAGAGAGTACAAACGTACAGCTATGGCAGACAGAGAAGCCAGAAAAAGCGGCAGCGACAAATAAAAGTCGTATCTTTGGCTTGCGTAGCTCAGCGAAGCCGTCAGCGATGACGACGACAACGCGAGAGATGACACAAGCGCCGCAACGGCGTACACTTTCGCCCACAAAAGCCAGCGACGCGCGTCGACTGGCGAACAGACAAGATGTGCAAAACACAGGTGAGTTTGATGATAGAGTATATATAGTTAGCTTCGAAAAAATATATTTAAAAAAAAATTATGTTTACTTCAAAAAAATATATTTACTTCGAACAAAAATATTTATTTCGAAAAAATAGCTTACACAAAAATCTTCAAACCATATATTTTAGAGTTCATATTGCTCAATTCTTACGCATTACTCGCTAAAAATTAAAATTCGAAAATATAAAACTTTAAAAATAAGTTTCTGGGTTAAGATCTGACAGTATCATGAATGAATACTTTATAATCAATCAAAAAAACATAAAAAGCTAAGTTCGAAAAAAAATTAATTTTCTAATATGTTTTGTTTTCTGAATTACGGCGCTGAAATTATAAGCGTATGCTTTGTCAACGTCAAAATTATATAAAAAGCTAAGTTCGAAAAAACTTGTATGAGAAACATACTTGATTTTTCGAGTTTGAAAGTGCTAAAATTTTAAAATAAATATAAAATATTCATAATAAAAAGAAATTGTGCATCTTTTACCTCAAAAAATATTTTTGCCATGTAAAACTGAGTTTCGAAACTACTTTTTTTTAGAAAAATAATTATATTTTTTGCATAATGGAATTTGTAAATTAAGCTTGTGCAGTTAATAAATATAAATGAATAGTATTTTCAAACAGAAAATTATACGAATATATGTGTGTAGTTCTCATATAAAAATTGTACTTCGAAAATACTTAGCTTATTCTAACATTTCTGTAAATATTAAAATCCTTTTTTAGCAGAGAACTTTATAGCTGCTATATAGAAAGTAAAGTTCGAAAATACTTTTGTATGAGAAAGTTTTTTACTTTAAGAGTCATGGTGATGAAATTTTATACCCACACGAATTTAGCTTATACTAACCTTTTCATAAACATTTAAATCGTTTTTGAGCAGAAAAAACATACCTTATCTTTTTAGTTCGAAAAAACGTTTGTTAGATATAAATGTTTATCTCATGAGTTATGGTTTTGATATTTTATACCTATACAAATTTAGCTTATACTAACATATTCGTAAATTAGTAAGGCATTTACAAACAGAAAACCACATAGCTGTCATATAAAAAGTGAAGTTCGAAAAAACTTTTGTTCCGTGAAATTTTTTATTTTAAAAGTTAATGTTTTGGAATTTCATATACACACTTCCATAGCTATGTCGTACTTTTGTATAGATTTATAATGTATTATATTTGTTTTGTGGAAAATATTAATAAACCGTTCCATTCTACTCACAGCACCACCAACCCAACAGCAGCGCCTGCGTCAAAGTCTTGCCAGCAACAGTAGTCATCATAGTAATTTTACAACAACAACACCTGCTAACGTGAAAAGTACAACCCGTCTCACCATACTCAGTCCCGAGAAAGTGCATCGCCTCAATGCGAAACTGACGGATCAGAAGGTAAAAGTCAAAAGTAGTGATACGAAAGCCACAGTCGTGGGCAACACAGTGGCAGCGACGCCCACAGCGAACAGCAGCGCTGAACAAGCCTTACAATTAGAGCGACGCAAGCGTAAGCAACTCTCAACGCGATATTGATTTGATATTTTCGAAAGCTATAATGAAGCGAATAATAAATTTAGATTTAAAACGAAACTAAACGATAATAATACAATAGGATGAAATGTGTAGAAGGAAGAGTGTAACAGTTAAATATTTTTAATTCGAACTTAACTGGATATTCGAATAAAGAATAGAGTATTGTAAGCAATTTATATCAAAGTGTATTAGGTTTAAAAGACAAGCTTAAAAAGACAAGTAGTGTATAAATAACGGTTTTGCCTGTCTGTATGTATGTAAATTTTTATTCCATCTACAACATAGTTGAGGAATGTAAGCGTTACGACCGCCATACGAATATAAAATAGTTGAAAACTTGCAATTTTATTTCAATAACAATTAATTTTAAGTGTTTATTATGCGAAAGTTGTAAACAAATGAAAAGTTGAATATAATATATAGTTGTTAGTGGGAAAAAAGTGCCTAAACTATGTAGGAATATATTATATAATGCAATATGCTTTTTACACAACTAATATACGAAAAATGCGAAAAATTAATAAACGCAACACAATCTTGGCCAGCAAGTCCGAAAACGACGAGCGCATAACGGTGTTTTTGAAAAAAAAAAAATTAATAACGTTGTGAAAAAACAGTTGGAAAACTCTTAATCACTACCTCACATATTACTAAAAATTAATGACTTACTACAAAATGTACTAAAATCGCCACTAATGTTTCACGCTTTTTATTTGCTTCCATCTAAGCGTTATTTGTTGTCAGCTTTTAACTAGTAATAAAAGTATAAATGTAATTATATATACATATATAATATATATAACAAACAGCTGAATTTCCTCAATGTATCGCTAACCACCTACACTATAGTGCCATTCGAAAAAAGTAAACTGAACTAACACGAAAAATAATTTCTTTAAAAAATATATATGTATGTATATGTAGCGCGCAAAAATTATTCTAAATGCAATTTGGAAGCGCACACATTAAAGTCTATTATAAAAATAAGTATATAAGCTACAAATTATAGGACGAAAACTTAAACGAAAAAAGTTAAACATTAGAAATATTTTTTTTGCTTAGTAAAATCGTGTAAAAATTTTCTAAAAGCTGCCACTAAACACTTCTAAATATTAAAACATAGCAAACATATGTGAAATTTCACTTTCACTTTTCACCAACAAATTTGATGTTCGTTTCATGCGTTTAAACTACCGCCACATAACAAATATATGCAAAATTTCACTTCTAAGCGTTTATTTTTGGCAAAAAATTTGATAATCGGAACTTTGAAGTTAATGCAAATAGTTGTTTAATACTTTTATCTTTCGCAAACGTGCTGTTAAAGTTTTTAAGCTACCTAAATATAGCAAACATATGCAACATTTCACTGTTACGCTTAAATTTTGAGCGAAACTTTGTTATTCGAAAATTCGAAATTTGTATAATTAATAATAATGCGCGGCTTAAGTTTTAAAAGTACTGAAAACTGGCAAATATATGCAAAATTTCACTGTTACGCATTAGTTTTGAGCCAAAATTTTATCTTCGAAAATACGAAGTTCATGCAAAAAGTTGTTTAACGCTCTTATCATTCGTAAATGTTCTGCTAAAGTTTTTAAACTATTGATATATAGCAAATTTTTGCAAAATTTCACTGTTACGCAAAAGTTTTGAGCAAAAATTCGATGTTCGAAAAATGGAAGTTCATGCAAAAAGTTGTTTAACACTATCTGGTTTTTTATGCAAAAAATATGGCTAAAACTTTTGCGTAAATGTAAAAAGATTATAACTAAAAAACTTTTAACTGCATAATTTAAAATACAATAGCTTTTTTTTAACAAAGTTTAGCTAAATATGTTCAAATATGTGTCACTGAAATGTTTAAACTATTAAAATGCAGCAAGTATATAGAAATCAGTTCCTTTTAAAGTTAATTATAGCGAAAAAAGGGCATGTTCGAAAATTCGAAGTTGTTATAAAAGGTTTTTTAATATCCATGACGTTTGTTTATGCATAAAAAATTAAATATTTCGTAGGCAGTAAATTAGAACAAATAATAAAATTAAAAAAAAAATATTGCAATAAAAATTTTAGCTTACTCAAAATTTTAACTAGTCGATTAATTGATACTGATATACTAAACGACCATAAAAAAACATACCTTATATGACAATATACAACGTTTTCGAATTTGAAAATTCTCTACTAAACTGCAATATTAAACTTTTGTATTAATTTATATTTAAAGTTAAGTTTTTTCTACTAATAACTGTAATTTAGCGGTAAAATATTTGTTAAAAACTCGTTTTATGTATTTTTAAGCATATTAACAGTATTTAAATAGTTAAAAACCATATTTTAAGCGAATATTTTCCAGCATTTTTATGTATTAACATTTACATATGTAAAATCTAAAATTTTTAAACTTTTTTATGCGAATTGCTATTTAAAAGCAAAAAAAAACATTCCTCATTCGAAAAAATTTCAAATTTATGTTTTACTAAAAGTATTTTAAGATTTTATTAATTCTTTTAAACTAATAAAAAATTAAGTTATTATAAACGAATATATGAAACTAAAAAGACATTCCCAAAATTGTAGTCTTGGAAAATTACATTTTTTGCCATTTTCGCACAATTTTGTTTTTTTTATATTAAATTTTATAGCAATATTATTAATTTAATTAAGCAACAAACAAAAACGAATATTTTTTAAGCTTTTGCAATAAAAAATTAAGTTTTTAAGCAACTACTTGAATAAAATATAAAAATGTTTAATTTTTTAAATAAAAACTTTGTTTTAAAATTTTATTTCATTTTTTCAGGTTAGTTATAAATAAATAAAAAATCTAAACCAATAAAACAATAACAAAATATATTTTTTTAAATTTTTCGTTAAACTATGTTTTTTTTTGCTTAATAAATTTGCTCAAAAAATAGTAGTCAATATTTGGAAAATTGTTGACAAATTTTTATTTATATTTAATTTTTATGACCGAAAATGAAACAAAATAAAATAAAAAAAAGTTTTTTTTAACTATTTTATTTACTTTCTTCCGGTATGTCATATAAATATATTATTTTTAAAAAGTAGTATTTTTTCAAAATTTAATTAACTTTCCAAAATTTAAAATGCAATTCCAAAAAAAATTAACAGTTAAGATAAAAAAAAAATTATAAAGTAAGATTTTTAGAGAAATATTTGTTTTTAGAAAAAAAATGTTTGTAGAGAAATATTTTTTTAGAAAAATATTTTTTTTTAAGAAGTATTTTTTTTTTTGAAAAATATTTGTTTTTCGAAAAGTAGTTTTCAGAGAAATATTATTTTTTTACTCTTCATAAACTATTTTTCAGCGCTTAATAAATTTGCTCAAAAGTAAAAAATTGTTCGGAAAATTGTTGAACAATTTAGCAGGTATAAACATTTTTAAGCCCGAAAATGAAAATGAGAAAATTTAATAATAAAGAAATTTAACTACGAAAAGAAACAGTGGAAAACTATGTAATTAAAATTTCAAAATTTTGCCAAACATTTAACAATAAATTATATTTTTAATTATTATTTGAAAAAAGTATTATAAAATAAAAAAAAAATTATAAATATAATTTTTTAAAATTTAAAAATTCGAGTTGCAGTAAAAACATGTACTTTAATAAAATTTTTTTTTTAAATTTATATAGCTTCTAAACAATAAACAAATATATTGTTATATATATTTTTTATATCTTTTAAATTGTTTTTTTTACGTTATTATTTTTTATGCTTATCAAACTATTTCAAAGTACTTCAAATTTGCTCAAATACCACTGTTGCCACTTTTTGGCAGTTTTCTATTTTTGACAAATGAACTGTGATTAATATTTGAAAAAAAAAATAATTTAGATCAGAAGTAAAGCAAATAAATATTTGAAAAATTTAACAAATAGTAAAAAACTAATAACAAGTATTATGTAAAACGTTGAAAGAACTGATGATATACAATAAAAAATTAAACATTTATAATTAAATGGAAATATAATATTGATGCGAATAATATAATAAAAAATATTTTATGCTCACATCTTTATTTTGTAAGAGAATGCAAAAAAATTAAAAAGAAAACTTCATAAAAACAATTAAAATTAATACAAAAAAAAATACAATTATAATAAAAATAAGAAATGCAATTCAAAACTAAAAGTAAAACATGAAGTATAAATAATAAAAATAAACAAACTAAACCTATAGACAAAAAAATTTATTTCTGAATTAAAAATTAAATACAAAAATAACCAATTAAATTAAAAATAAATATTAAAAATCAAATATAAAAAAAAAAATTAAAATAAATTACGCAAATTAAACAAATAAAAAATAAAATTAAAAAAAAATTAGAAGTAAATATCAATAACAAAAAAATATATAAAATAAAAGTAAATCAAAAATTAAAAAACAAATTACGCATATTAAAAATAAAATGTATGAAATAAAAATAAATAATGAAAAAATTATACAAAATAAAAAAAATTACAATTAAATAGTAGGAAATATTGAAAGAATATACAATAAAAATAAATCAAATATAAAAAAAAAATTATAAATTATGCAAATAAAAAATTAACAATAATATGTACAAAAATTAATAAAATTAAAATTAAATATCAATATAAAATAAAATTAAATCAAAAATTAAAATAAATTATGCAAATTAGCGATAAAATGTATCAAAAAATAAAACGGAAACAAAAAATTAAACATCAAATATAAAAAAATCATATGAAATAAAAACGAACAAAAATTAATGTTTAAAAAATTATAAATTAATTTAAATTATTTTTATATATTAAAATTAAAATATATATAAATTTAATGTAGAAATAAGTAATATAATCTTAAAAAATAATAATGAAAAATAAAAATAAAAACGAAATGAAAAGAAAACATCAAATATAAAAAAAGTTATATAAAATAAAAATAAATACAAAATAAAAAAATTTAAAATTTAAAATAAATTGGAATAAATTCGACAAATTAAAAATAAAATGTAATAAACAAAATGAACAGGAAACATCGAATAAAAAAAGGATTAATACAAAATAAAATTAAATAAAAAATAAAAATAAAAAAATAATAAATTGAAATAATTTATACGAATTAAAAAAATATATAAATTTTCAAAACAAATTATATATACATAATATAAAAATAAATAATTAATAACTAAAAATTAAAAATTAAAAATAAAAACTATAAGAAATAAAAGTAAATTAGACAAATTAAGTAAGAAGTTTAAATACAAATTTAAAATTAATTAAATTAAAAACCAATTAAATCAAAAGTAATCAAATGAATGAATGAAACAAAAAATAATTAAACGAAGTATAAAAATTAAAAATAAAATGTGAAAATTAATTAATTAATTTAAAAAATATTATATATAATTTTAAAAATTAAATAATTAAAATATATTAATAAAATTAAAATATGAATAAAAGTCACAAAAAATTAAATATTAATATAGAAAAACTTAAAAAGATAATAATATATTAAACCTAATAAAATAAAATTTAAAAACCAAACATAAAAAATTAAATATAAAAAATCTAAAATGAGATTGTGTTATATAAAGAATAAAAATTCTTAACACCGCAAACAACGTCTGTATTAAATGTTCTAACGGATTTTTTGTTATTATATTTAATAAATTAGAGAAATTAACTAATTTATAAGCCTAAAAACTAAGTAAAACTAAACAATATACATTACACACACATATACAATTGTGGTAATATTATATAAGCGCTGTTGCAATAATTAAGATTGAAGACACGACGTGTCTTACGTAAAGCGAGTCTTTGCATTAAATTGAGCAAAAGCAAATACTGAGAGCATAGATTAAGGAAATTGTTGTATATACATAAATACATGTGCATGTAAGTGCTTGTTGCTATACTTTTGCATTATTATTAAAATAATTTTTAACACAAATAATGCATTTCTGACACTAATCGAATTAAATTGTTTAAATTTTAGTTTGGTGTTTATTGCACAATGCCGACTTATGCTGTTTTAATGATCAAAAAAAGTTTTTCATTTATGATATAATAAATAAAAATAAGTTTTTTTTTTATAATTTTGTACTCGAATATGATTGCGCACTTTTCTTCACATTTGTCTGTTGTAAATTTGGTTATAAAAAAGCGAAAAAAGTAAAATATAGATTTTTAAATTAAATGTGAATAATTTTGTGCACTTA